GAGAATAGATACACACTTTATAAATATTTGCCGGTGTTGTCAGTACTAGAATTTAGCAATGCATTAAAAGTGAGTTAGCTTCTCTCTTCCTCAACAGTGAACACTTGGAAGACAGTGACAGCGTTTAATTTTCTTTGTACTCCCTGCCCCACTCACTGTGGAACTGAAGGCTTTGGTCTGTCTCTTACTAACCGTGTGACCTTAGGTAGATTACTTCACATCTTTGAGACTTTGTTTCAGTTTTTAAAAATAAAGATTATGAGCCTTCAGTATCGGTTTTTTTTATTTACTTACATCTCCTGAGACCTTTTGGTCATCTGATTGGATTCATACTGTTTCTTGGTGAAATTGTTCTCATTCTACGCCCTACTTGGTTTGTGTCCTGTCTATATGAGGAAACCTGTGAAAGGAGTGGACGTAGACCTGAAAAGTCCACCTTGGAGCCACTGCCTAGAAGAGGCAGACAGTATCATTAGACTTATACTTATGAAATGGAATTTCAAAACCTGAGAAGGACTTATCCCATTGTCTTAAAAAAATGATATATTTAGTTTCATCTGCCCAGAGTAAGTGGTTTTGGTTAACATCAACTCACCTTAATGACACCAAGGGCTCTCCTGCATGCCTCTCAATTTAAACTTACTCCAATTCTTTCAGGCCAAACACTTTTTCCTGTTTAGTGTACTTACTCTCTCATGGTTGAACTTTCCCAGAAACAACTTCGAATACTACTAGGGGGAACTTGACATTGGTAAAATATAAAGCAGCCTCTAGTTTATATAATGTGAATAACAAGCTCTTATTCCTTGGCAGTTACGTTCCATTGGCACCTTAGGAAGAATTTAAAACAGATAGGACTATGTCAAGCCGTGATAGTCCCAGTGCTATGAAAAGTTAGAGTAATTATGAAGGGTGAGGCATTTATAATTAATATTGGGCTGTCTGAGGGAACAGGACATAGCATATTCAGAAACCTGTTTGTTGGCCTGAATGAAGGGATACAGTACATACACCCTGTGAACATCTATCTAGGTACAAAGGGTTGTGACAAAGGGAACAAAGACTAGAGACAGCACATACATGTACATGACATATTTAGGGAAAACCCTTTTGCTAGCCTGGCTGGAGCTCAGAAAAACAAGAAATGAAGTTGGAAAGTTAGCCAGGGACCAGGTAATGTAAGGTCCCAAGGGTATGGAAGATTTTCCTTTTTCTATTGAGGACTGAGAGAGTACTTTGCACTGATTTATGTAATTAAAAGGATTATTCTGGATGCTTACACAAGAATAGAATGCAGGAAGGCAGGATTAAGAAATCTGGGATATGGAAGTGGAGGGTTGATTATAAGTAAGAGGAGGATCAACCCACTGTGATGTCTAATGTTTTTGTGATGTATACTGGAGTTGCAAGTTGTAAGAGGGATGACAACTTCCTGAGACACTATAGAAGCTGGCTAACTTGGAAATTGCCTGGGAATGGCAGTATTCTTGGAGAGCACGAAGAAAATGGAAAGCAGCTCTGTGGCTCTGAATATTGGTATTTGGGGTGGCAGCACCAATATAATTTACAATAAGGAAATTAAGACTAGTTTGGGAGGGTCAGCAAGATAGCTCAGCAGACTAAGTGCCCGCTTAGCAAGTGAAGGGACTCAGGTTCTTTCCCTGACATCATGTGCCACATGAGATTCATTTCTACATCAATGACTCTAAGGATAGCACATGAGAATCTAGCTGTGAGATACTGTGTGGCATTGCTGAGGAGAAGCAATAGTCAGGCCTCAGCCAATCACAAAAATCTAGTCTCATCTCCCCAGGAAAGGCAAGTAACTAGCTGTAGCAGTCATATAATTTTCTTACTTTGTGTTTATGCTAAGCCTATAGGAGCTGCCTACTCACACAACAGGAGCAGAGCTCTCTGAAACTCTTCTGATTCTGAGTGCTGCCAGAATGAAAAACTGTTCTCTGTACAACTGAAATCTGTTAAATGTAATTAGTCTAAAGATTTTCTTTTAACAGGAGTGATACCTAAAATGATCAAAGTGTCCACATAATGATTTTAAATCAAAGGACTAGGAGACAGAGAAGAGATTTATCTGTGAATTCCTTTTATATAAGTGGTGTAGGATGAATGTGGCTATAGACCTTGACTGCCAAGGTTCAAATTTCTGCTCCACCTTTTTCTAGCAAGATAACCTTCAATTACACCTGGGCCCTAATTTATTCTTTTCTTTTTTTAAATCTTTATAAGTCAGGGTTTCACTATGAAGTTTAGTCTGTCTGTCTGTCTGTCTATCTGGTACAGGGTCTTGCTGTTTGCTACACAGTTTGAACTCCTAGTGATCCTCCTGTGTCAGTTTCCCCAGTGCTGGGATTACAGGCATGTGCCGCCATGCCCAGTTTGGGGGTGGTCCAGTGCACCTGGGGCCGGGGCTGACACAGCATGTTATTCTGGGGATCGAACCCAGGACCTTGTGCTTGCCAGGCAGGTGCTTAGACCACCAAGCTATCTCCCCGGCCAGAGCAAGCATTCTTAACTTGGAGTTCATAAAATTTAGGAGCAGCTTTGCACATGATTCTGAAAAATTATAACCCTGTTTCTATGGATATTAGACAAAAATTTAGTGTTTTTTTTAAGGGTAGGCAACAAACTATAGTGTACTGAAAGATTAGCAACATAGATAGCTTTGTATTATATAACTATTAGGTATTTTTGTATGACAACAGAAGATGCTAATGCCATAAAATATCACAATCACCACTATTTCTAAATTATCCAATGTGTTAGAATTGCTGTTAGCTGGGGTAAAATCGAGTACTTTATCTTCATTCCTCATGCCAGTTGCCCAAGGATTCTCTAATTCTGTGCCTCTTGGTCAATCATAATCACAATTATACTGTTAAGTCTGAATGTTTATATACTGATTCTATCTAAATTGTTATTCAATATCCACCAAACAAAAATGTTTGCTCAACAGCATAAGAAATAAATTGTTTTAATTTTGATGTTATATTGTTATAGTCAATCCTTTGGTAATCCTATTGCTGTTGAGCATCCCAGTCCTGACACTGAAAGGAATCAATCTTTGCACCTCGGTTCTTTTTGACTTTGAAGAAAGAAGTCAGTCAAAATGCAAAGGTGGCCATATTTTTTTTTTGTCCATACCTGGGATTGATCTTATGACCTTGTGCTGGCCAGGCAGGTGATTACACCACTGAGCTATCTCCCCACATAGGCAGCCATCTTGCAGCATAAGTAGCTTATGGTAAGGCAGATAAAGCTGATACTGCCCTATGGCTCCCTCAGAGAATGTGTGCAGTGCTATGCTGTCCTCTACAGCCAGTGCAAGTTTGGGTACCTGGATGCACAGGACATTACTACAGGGGTTCAAGGACCTGTGATGCTTGTTTACATTTTTCTTAGAGGTTACTTGGGAATTGTAAAGCATTTTTCTTATTATTTTTGGTTGGTCAGTATTCCCTCTGGGGCATTAAAGAAATTTAAGAAAAGTTTCAAATCAGGTCTTAGTCCAAGGTGGGTGGGTGGGTAAAGAATGCTCCCATTTTTTATATCATTGGGCTGTAGGTCATGACAACCAGGAATTCTATACATCTGTTTATAGAAATAGAGGCCCTGTGTTTTAGGTCTAAGACCTTATAAATAAATAAATATTTACAAATGCAATGTACATTAAAATCTTCTGTTTCCCCATTTACCCACAGTATAACAGGTATTCTATTTTGGATCTACTTTGTCCTTTAGACCTGCTACTATCTGCCTAACCCCATAATTCCATGCATTTAAAATACTATTTTAAGACCACGTCTGTTGTCTTTACCAGATCATCAAAGATGCTCATCGCACAAGTGAAGATATTTAGAGGGCGAGAACATTCACGATGTAATACTATAGGAAAAATATAACTCCCGACCTGTTGCATGTCAAATGTGCTGACACTGTGGTCTGACAACATCCAGAAATGCGTTTGTGAGCCAAAGCAGAAAGGAGAGTTTTATTGGGAATAAGAAGTATAGCTCCTGGATTTCCAGGAGGTGGCCCTACTGGCCACTGAGGTCGTTTGTCAAAGGCAATGTACGCGCAAAATTACAATGTAGGTAGGTCAAGCTACAGTCAACCTTTAGGATTATAAATGCAGTCGCCTAGCTACATGGCAAGGGTATATGGAAAGGGCAAATAAATTATTAGAAAGGGAGAGGGTATGCGTCCTGATGCTCTGGTCACCCACCGATGTGTCTGACGCCTATCTGGACCCATCGGACCGGGGAGTGCTGACCACGGCATAATTTTAAATTGCTGTTTTATCTCTAGAGAGACCTGTGAGCTTGGCTTTCTTCAGATTTGCCTCCAGCCATAATTCTAAGGTCTCTGTTCTTTGCATTGACTTACTCATGGACCCAGTCCCTTTTTGAGTGTATATTAATTTCTAACCAGCTATAATAATACAGCACCTGGCCTATGTAAAATATTCAATAAAGTGTGCCACGATTCTTAAAATACTGGGAAAACAGGAGTTGCACTGAGTTCTATTCATTCTCGCATTTCAAGCACCTAGCACAGGGCTGTGTACCCTGGACCTCCCCGGGTAGGGAGTCGCCTCCTCGCGCTTTAGCCGCGCTGCGGGCGGCAGTGGCCCCTGCGCCCTGGCGGGGCGGCTTCCTCCCCCGGGCCCCAGAGCCAGTCTAAGAGCTTCCGAGATTTCAGGGAGCCAGGCCGCATTCCTAAGGTAGCTGCCAGCGAGCGCAGCACGCGGGGCTCCAGGGCCAGGTCCGCGCGCTCGGGTCCGCCC